CAGGAATGCTCAAGCAGACTTTTCTATTTCTTTTCATGTCCTGAGGGTTGGGTTTTGTCCTTTTTGCTTCCTGCAGCCAAAGAATATTGTGAACAGCCTTTTTGGATATTTGACCGGTGCTATATGTTTATCACCACTCACTGTAAATTGTATGTGCTGTGCCTTGGGTATTAGCCAAGATATTAACACAAAGAACAGAAATAAACACTCCGACACTGAGGGGCACAGACTGCTTTCTAGATGCTGACATTTCGCTGAGTAGTGAAGTTACTGCCTCGGCTCAGAAGGGACCCGAACCAGACCCACCTGGAAACCAGAGAGTCCAGGCAATTCCACAAAGATGCTAGAGAAGAACGGATGAATGACGCTTTTCCTCCACCCTCTCCTTTGCTCAAGTAGGAGAGCTGGACTGCAAGGGTCAATCGAGGTACAGGAAAGCAGGGCTTGGGGAGCAGCCACGGTCCTGGCTAGAGTCTTCACCTGGCCCAAGCCAGCACCCACAGCCAAGGCAAGAGGACAAGAAAGAAGCTCCACATCCCCCCAGCAGCTGGGGATGTGTCCAAGAAAACAGCAGCTCAAGTGAGCCGACGGCATTTCTGAGCACAGCGTAGCTCCTGACTGCGACTGTGCCCAGAGCAGCCCGCCCTCGGACGCCTTCCCGGCACCGACGCCGCCCCACCGAGCGCAGCTGACACCAAAAGCTGTCCTGGGCACAGTGCTGCGTGAGAAACTCGCTGACCCCATTAGTTTCTGATCACTTAAGTACACTACTGGAGTGAGGGAGGGGAAAGACATGCACCCCACAAAAGAAAAATGCCATAAAGGTAGATGGGTATCATTTTATACCCCTTTTTTATTTTCAAGTAAGAGACACTCAAGCAACCGAGATAATATTTGTACCTGTCCTAACTATTCCTCTCCTTCCAGGCATATACCATATTACAAAAAAACCAAAAAGAGCGATTCAAGCATAACTAACAACCTCCCGTGACTTTTTTCTTCTCCTATTTGCTTATTTTTGGAGATTATTACTGCAGCAATTACATTTAAAAATTCCAGGAAGAGAGGCCACTGGTTTATTATCACTAGAAAACAGCAAGCTGCTTCTCTGCCCTGTTTATCTGATTGATTCCCAACATCTTTCTGGCACACAATCTATCAGTTTATCTCTCCCACTTCATCACAGTCACTTCTGGCAGCTAAATACAAGATCCAAATCCAGTGTTACACAGACATACGACACAGTAAACCTATGTAACACCACTACTCTGTAAACAGCTGCCCTTAAGGCTAAGCAGAAATGGGATCTTGGTTTCTAGTCAATATTCTGTCAAAAGCAAGGTGGGAGGGAGGGTTTTTAACAGCGGCGAGAAATGGTGCAGCAAGGTTTTAGTGGTTTCTTCCTGTACCGGCAATAAGGTGTGTTTACTGTCTCCTCTTATCTTGCTTCCCTGGCACGATGCACAGAAAAAACTGCTGAGTAGTAATGGCAGAGGCTAAGGCACAAGAAGACAGTAACGCACAGACGTCCTACGCCCTTAGAGAACTAAGCAGCAAGACATTTT